CAAGATTTGCTATCTGTTCATGAGTGGATTATAAAACAAACATCAGAGGCAGTGACTAAACTAATAAATGAGAAAACACTGTTTTTTTTCTGAGATTAAAAAAAAGAACTCTGTGGGAATACCTAGAATTTTGTCCAGGAGGCAAATCAAGAATTTTTCTATGGTCATGTTACATTCAAGATGTCTACTGAACAGTCAAGGGCCAAAGTCTTCTAGACAGGTGAATTTTTAAATCTGGAGTTCACATAAACCTGAGCTAGACATATAGATTTGAAAATTGTTGGTCAATATTTGTTGGTTAAAAAAAAAAAAAAAAATATGGGCTCACCTAAAAAGTGACAATACATAGAAAAGAGCAGAGCAATGTTGCCTATGTTCTCCAGTGGTTACAGGTTGGGGAGATAAGGAGAAATAGCAAAGAAAACTTAGAAAAAGTAGCCAGTGAGGTAGGAAAGAATGCAGACGTCTTCCATGATCTAGATGCCAAGTTGTCCAGAATGATTAGGTAGAGAGGGAAAGTGGATACAAAGATACAAAGAAGAGGGAGAATTTCTGAGAGGAAGTGCTCAAGTGCAGAAGAGAGCAGAACGTAGTGCAGGAGTGGAAGGGCTAATAATCGCAGGAGCTCAGACCAGCCATCCAAAACAGCAAAAGCAAAAAGCTGTAAGCAGAATGTACCCCACTGATGCAGGTAGGCAGGTTACAGTGAAGATGAGGATATGTAGACTCCTTGAGTTCCTCCAGTGAAACAGCAAGCCAGAAAATTACCTACAGGTGTGGACTGTACATGCAATACTGAATTCTTTCAAACAGAGAGAAAATATATTGTTGTCTCAGGAGTGAGAGAATGAATGGAACAGGTATAGATGAGGATTATGGGGCAGCACTGTGGGTCACTTAGGGACCCTGAGCATGAATTTATAGTGAAATATGTCAGCGTGCTTACGTGTCTTGCTCCTGCTATTTTCAGTGGTAAGAAAGAAGGAAGTGGACGGAGAATTGGACTTCACTTAAATTGTAATTTAGCAAAGCACACACACACACACACACACACACATACACACACACACATACACATACACACACAATGAGACGTGACAGAAGAGTTAAGAATGCTCCCAAGAAAGTGATTACAATGCCTAACTATGGAAGTTGTTCTTGACAAGGTGGGTGGAAAGAATAAAGGGGCTGAGAGGGAAAAAAGTTGTTAGGTACAGTACAGTTTTTAGTGAGTGAAAGTTGATTGGAGTTGTTCTACAGGAAGAATCCTGGGACTAGATTACCTAAATGCTAGAATAAATTATTTGGAATTAAGTTTTAGGATAGGTGGCAGTGGTCAATAGAGAATAATCTCAAGTGGAAGAGATGGAGTTGATGACTATTGCAAAGACATTATTCATGGGTTTTGGAATCAATAAGTATTAAGGCAGAAGTGGAGTGGGAGCATGTGACAGTGGACATGAGACTCAATCTTTGGTGAGTGAGGGGAAGTGATCTAGGCTGCAGATGACCACAGTGAAGTATGATGGGTGATGGTGTAAGACTCAGGGTTAGGCAGTCCTAGAGAAGAGAGAAGAAAACTTGACTGTAAATAGCAAAATGGAAAAAAAAGCAAGGAAGGGGGCTGCAAAGGAAGCAGCAACCTTGGAGGAGAGGTATGTTTCCCTTGAAGGAAGAAGTTGAAGACAGTACTCACAGAAGTGGTTGGTGCAGGGTATATTGATTATGATTGACCTTGAGTATCAAAGGGCATAAAAAAGGCTGTGGAGTATGGGAAAGAGTAAAAGTTGGGGTTAAGAAAAGTGGAATACAAAGTTCACAAAGGTTTGAATGTGGGGGGTAAGTGATGATCCGGGAGTCACTGGAGTAACACCTGGGAGTGTTACAGAGAGCATAATCAGATTAACCCTACTCATCTTCAGGACAAATAGGTATGACGCAGCAAGCAAGTTGAATGAGACAGGCACTCACAGGAAAACTAAAAAGGCAGAAACGACCAAAGTTTTACTGAGCTGGCTGACGGACAGTCTCTAGCCAGGAGAAAGAGATGATGTCCACTTCAATCTGGGTCTCACCTTTGGTTAAGTACATTTTTAGGTTTCCATAGTAACCATTACCTTATTTGGGGGAATCTTACAAGAATGTCACACAATTATCACAAGGTTTACCTTTCCCAGAAGCTGTCAGACAGCTGACCCTCGCAGTTTAGCTTTTAGCCTACTTCCCAACTTGTCCTGTTCCCGTTTTATGACTCTGCTCTCCTTTAAGTGGGTTGATAACTAACAGAGGTGAGGGGGTGAAGAGTGGGGTCAACTACAGCTCAAGTGAACTTAACTGACTTCTTTTAATATGGAGTTAAAAAAGAAAATGCAGTCTCTTTTGCCCTATCAGGTAGAGTGCCCATGAGGATTGAGGAAGGGAAAGTCTGGTCAGTGGAGTCTTGCTAAGAGCATGCAGAGTCCTAAGCTCCTATCTAATTCTCACTGATGGAAAGGGGGCTCTTGCAAAGGTGTGAGGGCAGTTTTAGTACAGTTAATTTCTTTATTTTCCCTGTGGTAACCTGCAGAAACCATTTGCTTGGGCTTGTGACCCCAATTTTTGATGAAGCTTTAATTCTAATTGATTTCATCCACATTATTGAATGGTTCGTAGCTTCATTTCTTAAGCTAGGGAGCAATACACTAACATATTTATTTAAAAAGTATTTGGATCAGAAATGCATAAGTTTGATGAGTCAGTAGCTGAGGATAGTAGTACTGCAAAAAGACAGACACTTTCTGACGTCTGGGGAGGCCAGGCAAAGGATATATTATCTCAAATGAAAATATCTCCCAAACTGCCAGTCTTGATACCTGAAATGTCTCCATTAGAGAACCATAAAAATAGAACTGCAAGCCCAAGACTTTAAGAAAGAAGCAGCATGGTGCAGGGGGAATGCAGGGTCTGCGTCCTATCAGTCTGTATACGAATCCCAGCCTGGTGCTCACTGGTTGTGTCTGTTGGTTAACTTGCTCTCATTCCCTGCGCTCTCAGTAGGATATATAAACTTCTTGGTGGTGCAGAGTTTGCTGAAGAAAGTTGCACATCCCACATTCTTATTCTTGTGACAAGTTCTGTGTAGGGTAGCATGGGAATGGTCACACAGTTGACTTTGGATCCAAGGAATGACTTACTGCTGGACACAGCAGACTGAAGAGTGTAATATAAGGGGCAGGCAGTGGAGGTGGACACATGCAAAGCATGGTGTACAAATATGTTCCCTAAATTTTATGCCTCATAAATGTTCTAAGTCTCCCCCACTTAAAGAAGTCTAATTTGTTTCTTGGTGTCCTCTTACATTTAGCTCACTGCATAATAAGGCACTGGGCACATATAAGGGTGTTATGATTGGTTACAGGTTAAAGTCCCTCTCCACCACTAAGCACCTGTGAAACAGTGGCAGCTAATTGCATGCTTCTGAGTTTCCAAAGACATGAATAGCCTGGATCTCAGCGGGCTCTCTAGAGAGTTAATTGGGAAATTTTCAAAACCTTTCCTGCAGAAAAGAGATCTATAATGTCCACAGCATAGCACTGCTTTCTAAGGTATGAACTACGTGCGAAAGTACTTGAGGTATTAGAAAACCTGTAGAGTTGATCATCTGTTACTTCCCTTTCACATTCAAATTCCAGAGTTCCATGAAATCATATGATAGCTGAACAGAAAAGAGTCTGGAAAAAATTGAAAAGCCTATATTCAGTGCTTTCTCCAAGGATCCAGAGCCTTTTACTACCTTTGACAGTTTGGGGATCTCTGCACACACACACACACACACACACACACACACACACACACACATGTCCTCCTTTGGAAGTCATCCATACTGCCCCATCATCCCATCTCCAATGTCCCACCCCTCAGTAAAAAGTGCACATCCCAAACAGGAAGTGTAGTGAAATGATTAATAATGTAGATTTGGGCAGCTCATAATTCTGGATGATTTGGGGAAAGTTATTTAATTTTCCCAGATATAAAAGGCAGAGAAGAGGGACCTGGAGAGAAATCCTTGACAATGACGTAATACGAACTAAACAAGATAAAGTATATAAAGAGTTTAATATAGCACCTGGCCCACCTTAAGTACCTAACATATAACTATTATTTATTTCCTTGTTTACAACCTGTATTGCTTTGCTCAATATATTTTCTTGCTGCTGCTGTTTTTGCTGTTGCTATTGATCCCCTGTTGATATGTTAGGGTGTTAATGATCGCACTGCAGTGATGTGTGTTGTAATAATCATGCTCCACCTAGCCCACCAGGGCAGGAGAAAGGATAGTTGTTCTGGTCCCACTGTAACTGCGCCCACTGACTTACCTAACAATCACTTTGAGAGTCCTTTGGCAGAATTGTTTTCTGCTAGGGACCAAGGTGACCTGGGAATAGGCAGGTTGTTTCCAAGTCTGCAGTCATTTCTGATTTCTATGTATATAGCCTTTTTTTCAGTTTTTTTATTAGTACATGTTTGCAGCACATACTGATTGCATTCATCAGAGGGAATTAATACATGTACACAACACATCCTCATTCTGTTTTGCATCCCCCTCACTCTCACCTCCCTCCAATTCAAGATAGGTAATAGGAAAATGGGAGAAAAATCTTTCTTCTTCTTTTGTGGTTGTTCTGTTTTGTATTTTGCTGTGTTTTTTATCTTTCGTTGTAGTCTTGTTTTAACACTGCTTATGGGTGTGGAAGACTTAAGTGTGTTTTATTTTGTAAATCAAGGCTAAAAGATATACATATGACACCAAAACGTTTCTGCCAAAAATCTGTGTATGAGAAAAACCATGGCGGGGAGCGTACATAGTGCGCTGCTAGGGGATGCTGTATTCTCCAGATGGATAACATGAGCACATCTTAAATTCATTATTTCTCACCTGGTTCACCTGTGAAGGTAGCAATTCTCTCTTTTGGCTCCTAAGTAATTGTCTCTGGCTTTTCAGAATGAAGAGTCCAAAGGTGTCCAGAAATAACATTTATTAATTAATCAACAATAAAACACACGATAGAAAAAGCCTTATAAAGAAAACTATATATTTATAATGCTTTATTGTTTTTGCTCCAGTACTCCACAAAACACGACAGACAGTAACAAAATAATTCAATGAATATTAAAAACTTTCAAGAGAATTATAGGACATCATTTATCATAGGTGAGCATCAACAATGCCACAGCCATTAGGTACACTATTAAACACCATCATCGATATCTTTCTTGAATAAAGGACAGAATATTTTTTTAATCCAAGAGTCACAACATTTACACATATCCATACACAAGAGAACAGCTCAGAATAAGTGGAGCAGATTCACCAGTGACCTGGAACCATCTGCCTGTACATCAGTTAAAGATATTATAGTGTTCACAGGATAGAAGTCAACACACTAAAGAGAAAATTCGGGGTTTGCATGGGAATGGAGGAGTGAAAGTAGGGCAGTTAGTAAGAGTTGCTTACATATTTTCCATGGCTCGCTTGGCAATATGCTCCCTTTCCTTTTCTGCCTTTTCTTGGTTAAGGTACTCCAGCACTTTCATTAGCAGATCTTCATCCAAGTACTGTCTGTTTGGAGTATCTTCATTCTTCGGGGGCCCCGCAGGGAACCTTTTGCTCCCTGGTGCCAGTTGATCAGCCTCCTGAGAGCTGCCCTGACTGAGGTGCTCTTGGATAGCCTGCTCAAGCTGTTCCTCTTCTGGAAAGTCATCTTCAGATGAGCCTGGACTGGGCGCTCGCTTCACTTGGTTTGAATTAATGAGCTCAGGGTATTTCACTAGCATCCTGGCCAAGTACTCTCCTAATTCTTGATCCTTGTCATTCAGGTTTTCATAAGCCTCCTGTCTGTTGTCAGTCTCTGGCATCCAGGCAGCTTTGGGAAGCTGGTTCACTCTAGATCTTCCAGGACTGTAGGGGAACCTCGGGGGAACTTTCTCTTGGTTATAATGATTAGGAAAATACGGAGGTTTCTGATTTGCTGTACTCTCCATCTCTAAAAGATTTAAAATATCCTCAACACTGAGCCCATCTGGTAAGGCTTCGGTCACAGCACGACCAGGGGCTTTGGCGTACCCACTCTTGGAGAGCATCTTATTTGGCAATAGGTCTGGATGCTGTAGGTCAGCCTCTGAGATGTCATCTAGGTCAACAGGAAGGTCAACCTCCTGTGCTGGCTCCACTGGTCCACCTGGCTTCTCGCTGGTCTTGAGCATATCAATTAAGTCTTCAGGAGGGATCTGCAAATTCCTAGAGAGTTCAATAAGCTCATAAATAGACTGAGAATCAAGTGGCTTCTCAAAAAGCCTGGCTGCCCGTTCCCCATTTTGCCCATTCTGAGACCTCCCACCTCCTGAAGCACTCACTAACCTTTTCAAATAGGCAACGACTTTGGAGACATCATCCGAGAGTTGGTCTTTACTCTCTTTCTGGAGATCTTCTTCCTGCAGGCCCACCTGACCTGAACGCTTCATTTCTTCATTGATCTGTTCATTTTTTTCTGTATTCTCTTTGCTGTCCCTCACCTCTTCCTGGGTTTGACCCTCTGTTTTCTCCTCTACAGGGTTCCAATCTTCTCCCCCAACCACATCTTCATAAGCAATGTTGTTGGCCTTGTAGACATCATCTTCATCATCTGCATAGAGTTTTTGATCCTCATCAACCCTCTCACGTTTCTGGCTGTTGGGTCTGGTCAGTTTTCCTAGCTCTTGGAAGACTGACTCCAGGGTAGCAAGACTTTGAGGAGTATATTGCTCCTCTACGATTTCATTTGTGCGTTTGAAAGGGTTGTCCCTGAAATTTTCCTCATACATGGGAGGGAACTGCGTGTGCTTGAGCTTTCTCCCTGGCCACTGCTGTGTCTCATAATCATCAGTCATGTCCCCTGGAAAGCTCTTTTCTGAATTCGAGGCATAGGACTTGCTTTCTTTTGGTGCAGACTGAGGTTCATTTTCAGCCTGTCTCAAAGCTTCAAGTATTATTCTCATCCACTCATCTTCACTCAGTGAATCTCTTAAACTCTCTTGCAAGCGACTTTCCTCTCCATTTTCTTTTTGTGGAAGGGAAACCGAGATACCTTGGTAGAGAGTATAGTCTGGGCTGCTTTCTTCTTTGTGAGCTTGTTGCCGGAGTTTTTCTATGTACTCCAAAGCTTTGATCATTTCAGGACTGGGGAACCTTTGGACATTTTCCAATCTGAGGTCTGGTTCTTTCTGAAGCAGCTGGTGACGCTGAAATGAAGCTGCTTCAGCTCCAGAGATGAGGAAAATTAAATGGATAAGAGACAGGGCTGCTCCAAGTTGGTGGGTCTTAGCTTCTGCCATGTTGTAAAGATTTCCTTAAAGCACAGAAAACATGAGTTAACACATATGAAACAGAAGAAACTGTACCAAATAAATAGACCACTGAGAGGAAAAAGGAACAGAGATAATTTCACATTACACAGGATAATTCTTTAAAATTTATCAATATTTACTACAAGATATTTGCTCACAAACTAACCACTAGAATCTTTAACAAAAATGTTGCTATTCACATCAAACATGCATAACATCTTCTTGGTTAAAACAATAATAAAAATATTGCCATGAGGTTTCCAAAATGTATTTTTTCATTTATAAAAATGATTTTTTGATAGTTTGATTTTGAGTACTTCTTGTTGCTTCTTACTAAAAAGGCTTTCCAATATGATTTACAGTTCTCTCATACAATGTTCTATTAAAGTCTCTGGAAAAAATAATTTGTCATAAAACATTAAAGTACACACAGTTATGTCCTTAGATTGTGTCTAAATAAATGTGATTTTTTCTTCCAGAATGATTCATCTAGTTTTGTTGTAGAAACACAGCCATAGTGGCATTGCTATATATGAAGATGTAATATAACATACTAGAATCAATCATACTGAACACTTTGTGGATGAGTTCTACCCACATATGTCTTTCAGAAATAATTTGTTTTCACTCTTACATCAAGGTAAGTTATCGATTAATAACCCCAGAACATGGTCTTCTCAGGTTTTACCTAGAAAGCTAAACCAATAAAGTTTTTTCTACATGAACATGCCAAAATAACAAACTATTTTAAAATCCCTGTTTTTTCTAATGATTTTATTATGATTTTCTTGTAAAATGTAATTATGATTGTATTTCTCATCAGCCCTTATGAAAGTATAGTAAATAATAACAGATGCTACAGAAAGAACATAAATTTACTATTTCTAAACTTGTAAGTGTTCATATTCAGTTTGTCTTATGTCTCTGTCTATTTTTATATGGACCCGTGAAATCTTGACTCATACTGTTAGAAAAGCTTAAAATAACCACTATGTAATTCCCAATTTAGATAAACACAAAGTATTGAATTCTTCCTACTTAAAAATCTTCATTCATTTTTTTCCTCTCAGACTTTAAACCTCATATATGAATTAGCAAGATTTGTTTTTACATGTCTAATATTTGGCATTGTTAACACTGAAAGGGCTATTTTAGTACAAGCAACTTTGGTGTAAATAAAATTCATGCAAAATAAGTTCACAAGTTTGTTCATATCTTTACAGATCATGGTTTTGTGATAGATCAACTCAGTTATTTAGGTACAGTATTTTGTTAGATTACATATCACTTGTAGAAATATCATTGTTCACTAGACCATATTGATGATTAATGTTTTCAGTTTTAGAATTTAAAATAGTTGTAATTATAGAAACTTCTTTAGCATAGATACATATTTCTATTAGAATAATTCCTATTAACTAGATTACTTAGCTTACTGAAAAGAAAAATATCTAAAACCATGTCACAGAATATTTCCAAGACATTTACCATAAATAAAGGACTACTACAAGTAATTTTATCCATAAAATTCTTAGGTTTAAATGATAGTACATTATATATTCTTTGTATTATTGTAGAATTAATTTAGCTTTAGTAATCAATTTTTCAACATTGGCATTTGAAATTTTAATTTAAAATCTTTATTGAACTTACTTTCTTTGAAATTGTTATTGTGAAGTATTCTTAACACATGGATTATATTAGTGTCTTTAAAGCCATTACCTTTGAATAAGATTTTGTTGTAGAGTTAGAGTTGAATATTGATTTCAGTTGTTAAAACCACAGCCTAACAAGTGACCATTTATTCAGGTTCACTGTGAATGATACAGTTATTACCTTAAAGACTCAAAGAATTTCTTTCCCTAGTAGCACCCCTTTTAAGTAGTGAAGATGGTTTCAACAGCTCTAATATCTTATCTGATCTAAAATGTAATTTTCTGAAATCCAAATCATAGGAACATTGTTTCTCCCCTAATAGCTATTATTAAAACTACTAAAATTAGACAGGCACATTGACACCAAAGCATTGACACATGTAGATAGACCCAAATTGAGCAATTCAACTAGTTAGGTGAAAGAAAGAAAGAAAGAAAGAAAGAAAGAAAGAAAGAAAGAAAGAAAGAAAGAAAGAAAGAAAGAAAGAGAAAGAAAGAAAGAATTAAAAACAACTATCCCAATCAAAACCTTTTAAAAAGTAATTATACAATATCTTTCAATCAAATCACAGTAATTACAACAGTAGTTTAAACATTTATGAATGTTTTCATTATGTATTCAGCAGTATCATTTCTCCGTAATTCAGGGTCATAGTCAACATATACCCCAAGCTAATATTTCACCCTAAAAGAAGAAAGGAGTCTGTGCACAGGACCATTCTAACGTATTTTCCTAGAACTAAAATTAGGTGACAATAGCAGAAGCCTTTTCAAAACATATCAGTTCATATAATTTTACATAGTTAGTTCATTTAGAGCTCTTTTAAGGTAAATAGCAAAGAAAAAAATAGTTCCAAAACTCGATGCCTGTATGGTTAATGTAATCAGCAGCCTTTGAATCACTGAAAACCTACTGTTAAGAATATTAAGCATATAAGTTATATCCCTGATTTTGTATCTGACTCTTAGGGCAAGAAGCAATGTCTTAAGGGAAAAAAACAAAATATCCGGCTTAGTTAACTTCACATTAATAGGTGTGTTCACACTCAAATCCTTAACTTTTTCACTCCTCTTACATATGGTTACCTAAATAGCGTTCTGCTTAATAAATATGGAATAGCAAGTAGTACAAATCACAGATCCGATCATTTAGACAAACAAATATCATATTCTTACACCAGCTGAGGAGCAGCAGGTTCCTACTACGTTATTCTATTGATATACGCTTGCCAAAATAATCTCTTCTTCTCAGCTAAGAATTGAAGGAAGAGTACGCAATTTAGAACTTTCCAGTAAATGGCAGAGAAAAACAGCCTACCTCTTCTTTATATGGCAGAGAAGGTCCACAGCATGTTCCTTCCTCCCGGTCGGCTGGGTGAGCGTCTCGGGCCGCTTCAGCACCCGGACAGCTCCTGGGCTTATAGGGAGCGCGGCGCCTGACTCCGCACTGCCACGCTGACGTCACCGGGCTCGGCCACAAACCCCAGCACAAGAGAGCTTTTGCAAAGAATCCGAGAGAAAATAATCACTTTCTACATTTTTTTTAAAGTGTTGCGTGCTTACGCCACCTGTCTTTCTGTAGCAAAAATTGCAAGTTTTCTTTTTTTTTTTCTTCTTTCATCCAAATCTTTGAGGCTTGAAATAAAATCTCTGCACAATTTCCCTTCGAAAGAAATGCGTCAAACAGACATGACTAATTGCAAGATAATTTCATCTATGTTCTAATATCTTGTTAGAGGGTGTCTTGGCTCTGTTGCGTTATTGTTGTCATTGTCCTTGTTATAAGAAAGTTTTACAGATAGGGGTTGTTTCTTCTTTGTTACCCACAAAGAAATCACACTATCATTTCCTGGTATAAAATGAATGGAGGACACACTATAAATATGAAAGGGCATATTTCAGGTTATGCCTACAGTTATCTTCTAAAAATTCATATTCATTTGAATAAAAAAGGAGAGCAGCTTATTTTTTGTATGAAAATCAACTGAAATCTTCAATGTGAAATTTGAAGTAAGGATTCATACAATTTCAAGTTTAGTATTTGATAATTCTATATGATCTGTTATCTTTTACAATATCTTATCTCAGAACAAGAAGCTCAGACATTGAGTGCTGATTAGAATATTTCTGTCCACTATAGAAAACTAAGTCCTCTCAGTGTTTGAGAAAAATGTGACATATATGTGATTGGATTTCTCTTGCAATCAAGAAGATGTAGTACAATAAATACTTTCCTTGTTCCATTGCATGAAATGAGTTGAATACTTTCTGTGAATTTGACCAATCCAGGGAATAATATAGTAGTTAACTCCCAACTCTTAGATTTATAATTCATAACACTTGCTGTGCTTTGCCATGTAAGCTGATTATATATTTTAATAATTTATGTAAGTCTAAGTGTTCAGCTTTATTAAAGATATGAGTTCTCTAAAAACCTATATATGCAGGAGTATATTTTAAGAATACAAATGAATCTTGCTGTGTAAGGGAGCCTCCGTGTCTCTAAGTGAATAATTATCTACTGATTTTATCTGCTGATGAGTTGTTGTATCACGTAGGTGCCAGATACATTGGCAACTTCTGGTGATAGAAAAATTAATGATTTATTTTTTGCCTTTGAGAATAGATTATTTTGATATATTTAGAAAGCACTCAGAAAGAGGGTAGCCATTAGTTTTTTTATTAGCCAACTGGTTTACCTTGAAATTTGCTTGGGGTTGAGGAACTCCAGATAAGCTTAAGCTGAGGTTTCTTATTATCTGGTTTTTTAAAACTGATCTCTATGCTACAATACTAAAAAAATTAGAGTGCACTTGAATTTCTCAAGGAAAGAAATATCTTAAAATCTTAATAAAAATACAAATCTTAGAAAAATGGCCCTTAATTCTCCCTTTTTCCCTCCCAGTGAGGATATTTGGTTTTTCCAAACGGTGAGAAGAGTACTGGCTATGGATTCAGAAGGAACTTACACAGATGCGGGTGGAGTTCTACGGCAGTTCTTCCAGTGTATTTGTGCCTCATAATGGCCGAGTGCTTAGCTGATGAGGCTTGAGTGAATGCATCCTGTTTACCAGGCACCATCTTCATGACACCAGTTCGTTCACTGACATCCCAGGTTTATACACATAGATTTTTTTTTTTAGATCTTAACAAAGGCCTGGCTAACTGGTTTGTGTTTGACCTAATTTTCTATCTAGGAGTTCTAAGTTCTTTGTGATCAGTTAAACTAACCAATAACAACATAGCCTCGGAAAATTCTGCACAGTTATTTTTAAGGGAATGGGTTGGTTCAGGACAAGTTTCAAAAGTCCTCAAGGAAGTCACTGTACCTGGCTGATTCACTCATGGAAAACTTAGCTTTTTTGCAAGGACCAAAAGCTGAAGTTCTTCTCAGACCTGAAAGGCAGTCCTCCTGCCTGACAATACTCTTAATATCTAAAAGACATGCAGAAGACTGTTTAAGAGTTTGAGAAGTGAGATGTCAGAAAGCCTCCACCGGGATGAGCTAGCTCCATCAGGACAACAGTTTGGGTGGAACAGAGCTGCATGTGAGCAATTTAATTCCTGCCTTCCTCATGATCAGTATCATTTATTGAGTTCTACTACATCCCAAACATGGTACCTGGAACCTAATTAAATTCTCCAGACAATTATATAACAGGTAGTTATTTTTAACCTCTGTTTTATGGATAAAGAAACAAAAGCTCAAAAATTAGTAAGTTGGCCATCATTTTGGGGCCCATAATTGGTAGAACTGGAGCTGGAGCCTAAGTCCATCCACCAGCATTTCAAAAATAAAGACTATGATGCAGGGACTTTGCTAGGTGACCAAAAATGTGGTATAGGTCCAATAATCAAAGATCCAAGTCTAGAATGTGGTTGGTTCAGCAAAAATTCTCCAAGGACTATTATCTTATGGCTTTCCTTGGTCACTTCGCAGATGGAGTAAGTCATTGCTATTTAGGGCAACATAAATGGAAGAAAGAATTAACATTAGATCTCTTTCCTGCATACCACAATTTCTTTCAAACAAGATAGTAGTTATCAAATTTGGAAAATATTATTCACAGTGTTGTTTTTCATGGATTTTCCAATGAGCTCTAGCTAGTATACCTATAGAAGTCTTTAACTTTCCAGAAGTTATTGGTTCTAAAGGAAATAATTTCCCTAATAGAAGTATATCTGGAGAGGAAATTAGAGTGTATACATATATAAAAGTCAAATTTTTATTGATGTGAAATATTTTAGAGCATATATAGGACATTTAAAATAACCTATAGAGCCGAGTATGGTGGCACAAGCTTATAATCCCAGCACGTGGGAGGCTGAGGCAGGAAGATTGCTGTGAGTTCAAGGCCAGCCTGGGCTACAAAGTGAGTTCAAGGCCAGCCTGCACTACAAAGTAAAACTCTGTCTCAAAAGGACAAAAAAAATAAAAATAACCTATATATCTTTTATCATTAATTCTGAGATAAGATCATTTTAAACATTCCCTATAAAATTGTAATTTTCTGTTAGGTCTAAATTGTCAACTCTCTTTGACCCCAAGAAAAAAATCCCTGTATCATGAACATTTTCAAAATAATTATGTACTGTGTATGATAATGGCTTTAACTAAATTAGCTCATAGCCTCACCATGGTGCTTTTAAGATCAAGCTGATCATTCACAGTTTAAGCAATTAGAACAGACTAATTTGTTTTTATGATGAGAATTTCTTAAATCTTGGTCATTTTATTCTTTGTTGTTCAATTTCATATTTCATCTAGACCCAGATTTAGTTTTTGCAGTCATTTCACAAGCCATCTTCTACTTCAGCAATCTTTATTTTTTTAATTTGAAACTTATCTCTCTTCCACTCCATTACACTTCTCATTTTCTTTCAATTTATATATGAAAGCAATTAAGATCCAGAAGGCCAATGTATCTGATTATTCCTCTTTCTTTCATCTTCTTCCTTACACTGACTCTTCGTCCTTCTATCCCACATAAGAGGAGGCTCAGAGGGAGTCCAGTCTGCACCTCCTTGTATATAAAAGCTGGCCAAAAAATATGCTGTGTTGAATTGACTTGAACTTTTCTCATTCTTCCTGCCAACGTTCTCCAACACTGGCCTTAACATGGCCAAGAAGAGGGGATTCCATAGCTTCCCATGGCCTCCTAAGAGCTCAGCTAGTTTTCTTTCTCTTTTTTTCTTTTTCTTGTCTGTCTTGCTTAGAGGGTCTCACTATGTTGCCTTGAGCTCTCCATGGAGCCCAGGTGGGCCTGAGATTGGAGGCAATCCTCTTACCTGGGCCTTCCAAGTGCTGGGCTTCTAGGCACGCTCTACCACAGCCCGCTCTCAGCTAGTTGGACCTTCTCATCCCTCATTGTTCTGCCTCACTTCCCTTCTGAAACTTTTCCTTCTTTCTACTCCTTGTGCATTCCTTACCTCCTTTATGCTTTGCTTCATCCATTGGTGTCAGCTCCTTTCTCTTAGTTAGAGCATACTTTCTTTTTTTAACAAATGTCCCTGTCATAACATGACGGACCTCTCTAACACCTCACTATAAAAAAAATAAGAAATAGTTGTTCACCCCCTTTGAAAGGCCTACCAGATTTCTGTTTGGAGAAAATAAAATCTGAACCCAGTAGGTTCTAGGAAGTAACAGTTCTGTTTTTATCGCTATACCCTCATCCCTAGCCCGGGGCCTTGCATAGAAAAGCTGGCCAAAAACATGTTGTGCTGAACTGACTTGAAGTTGTCTCATTCTTACTGCCAACACCTTACACATTCCCTCTTAGAAGTTTTTAATCCTCTCAAAGTGTCCTTATGCAAATGAACTGCCTTTCTTTCTATGAGCTTCATATTCTGCTAGTAAAGTAAATTTGAATTTTTTAAGGAAAAATTTCTTCCCCTATAAGAACACTTTGAATTTTTCTTATCTCCCTTACTTGCAAATTATTTTTCTGGTGTTTGAGTTAGAAACTGAACCTATAGAGAAAAAAAAAAAAAAGAATTGGTTTTTAAATCCAGTATTTGTTTAGTCTTTGTAATTCTCATGCCCCACGTATCAAGGTGCTACCTTACTGGTAGTTCCCGCTGCTGGTCCCAGATGCACGACAGAACATTTAAGGCTCCCTTTAACTTCTCACCTTGCTTTTTGTGAAACAGGAGTCTGTTGTAAGCTAAGTATTAAAGTATGATCTTCTTCACACACCCTCAAAGAGAACTGTAGAAACCAAATAAATTCAGCCTTTCCTCTCCATTGACTTCGGATTCTAGAACCATCTGTGCTTGGAAGAAAAGCAAGCATCATTCTCTTAATCTAATACCATGAATGTTTGGGCATCTGCTCTCTCAATGGATTACAGGAGGGAAGTTGGTACAGAAATTAATTACTTTGCTTAAAACAACACTGAATGTCTGTCTTTCAGATTCTCTTGGCATAATTGTTTTGTGAATCAATGTTTTCAGCATATACATGCAAATATTTTGAAAAGGATGTTTCCTGCTTGAAA